TAATTTTGTCCACAATACTTGATGCGTTGGTTTTCAAAGAGATTTTATTAATGATTTTAAGAACCAGGGCTGCAGTGCCTTCTGCTGAATTAGCTGTGCACTGATCTGTCATAGAGAAGGTCTTTATAAATCTGCACCAAACTGATTACAGTACAATCTTGTCTTATATGGGCGGCTTATATCAAGGCCTCTGAAGCTCTTTTAAAATCCAGCACAAAATAGATTTAAGTTTCAGTTTAATCACTCATACCTTTGAAAACTCCTCAGCATGATTAGATACAGTCATCAATCTGGTTCACAGTGAGCTCTCTTAATTTAGTGGCAGTGTTGCTGTAGCCAGAATGCTCTAAGAGAGTAAGACAAGATTTGTCAGTAGAGGTAATTTCTCATCTTAAATCAAGTTTTATAATATACTCTACATCAAAGGTACCCTTCAGAGGGAGTCTTCATTTTTAGCCTAACTTCAGATGTTTGAACTGTGCCTTTAAAAATGTTTGAACTATTTGTCTAGGTCCTTTGTAGTCCATGGAAGGGGCCATTCCCACAGGAGAACTCATCAGATTTGTATTAGATGTCAGTATTCAGCAGTGCTACCCCAGCAGGATCTGGTTTACTCTCTTGCACTCCTTCCCAGGTTCCCTCTGAGCCATGCCTGGGCCATCGCTGTCAGTAGCTTTCCCAGGTTACCAATATATGTCCTGGAGAGTGGGACACCATAATTTTGGTCACCAGCCCTCATGCTTCACACAGCCTCGTAGAAGGCAGTTGTTTGCTGTGGCAGATAATGGGCTGCTACACCAGCATCTCCTGCCACACAAAGCAGAGGCCTCTCCTGAAAGTGCCGCGTGGTCAGGACATTCTCCAGCCCCAGGTGGAAGCAGAGAGCTCCTTCAGCCACCACAGATGGACAAGTACTCACCCGCACGTACACTTCCCTTTCTCTGAGAGACAACATACTGTTTTCCGATTGTCTTTTGCCCAAGGGCTGCTGCTGTTGCCCTGTTTCAGGGTGTTTCAAGACAGACTTGGAGACAGTCTTTGCTGTTATATACCTTGTGAGGCTTCTAGGTAAGACAATGGTTTTGACAGCATCCTGCTAGGCATAATGTTTTTCACTGTTGCCAGCAAAGCATGCATGTTACCTGACAACTCCTGCAACCCTGAGGAGAGACCTTGCTCTCAGGTTGGCTCCTGACATCCCCTCTGTTCTCAGCCGCAAACCCAAGGTGGGCCTCACCATGTCCAGCAGCTCTGCCCAACACCAGCAAGCTGGTTTAGAGGCACTAGAGGCTTAGCAAGGCAGCTGGTCCCACAGAATGATTTAGCAGATGTTTCCTCACATGGCCTTAAGTTTCCAGTTTGCTTTCTTTTTTTTGTAAAATGGTTTTGCTCAGAGACAAGCTTGTTTGGACATTGCTCCCCTCTAAAACTATGCAAGGTTTTGAGGTTTCCCACTGATGACCGCTTTTATGTGTCATGAGATACCTAATATTGAAGAATACTTTTGAGGGGGGAATGAGACTTTGCTTCACCGCAGAGATGACTGAACATGAATGAGGAATTTTATCTTTATTTTCATGATGTTAGCACAATAAACTCACACAGTAGCATTGTCTGTACTTATTTAACAAAATACATTTATAGCAATTTACAAATTCTTTTTCATTTGAAAACATTGCATAACATTTTAATAAACACAATACTTTATATAGAGAATTCTCATTTAAAAACATATTTTATTTTTGAATATTTTCTTTTCTCCGTAAAGCACAGCCTAACAAAGAAATTCGTGCCTGTTAGCAAGTAAGAAAATCAGAACACTAAGAAGATGTGACCTGTCAATTTATTTGATTAATTTTAAATTAAGGTATCAGTGGAATGTAAACAAAGAGTAATTTTACAAAAGGCTCCTTATCAAATATACATGCAGAGGTCTGAGTTCCAATGTATATATTATTACATTTCTGCTCTCTAATGCAATATAATTTGATAAGCCATTATTAAAAACAGTAGCCTTTGGCACTTTGAGTAAAAAAGAATATATCAATATTTATGTAAAGAACACAATTTCAATGATTACACAAGAGCTTTAAAATCTTTTGTTAAGAAATAGGAAACCTTAGGAAAAATATCATACTGCACTTGAAATAGCGCAGCAAATTTTAGAGTAATAAAAGCAACACATATGCCGATATATATCTGACTAAAACCAAGGAATAAAGAACAAACACTCCCACCAGGAATCCTGCTGTTTCCAAAACAGCCAAATTGCCAGAGGGAACATTTTCTAATCTTTGCTTTATTGCCATTATTCTCCACTTCAATTTTCCATTATTTCCAGGTTCATCTACTTATGTTCTTCCCCTGCACTTACAAACTAACAAACGATTGCATCTTATTTCCCTGCATTGATAGGCCAAGAGTGATTGTGTCTTACCCATTCCTTTAAAGCTAATCCTACCTGCTTTATCCTGTACCTACACTAAACTAAATTCATAGGGTTTTGTTCAGGACAGTCCAAGTGTTTGTAATTTCTAGGAATCTTGTACAAAATTTGATATTAAATATCAAGGACTAAAGATTCATCCTTTTAAAAAGAAAAAAAACCAAAACCCGACTTGTAAATACTAGAGTTTGAGAATGTATTTCTAAAAAATTACTCTTGTTTTCCCGGCATCTATGATTATTCTCCTCAGCTAATGTGCCTTAAAATGTGTCTTCAACATACTGTGACTTTATCACACACAATATGCTGAAACCCTACTGGTTAGCTTCTTACACGTATTTCGCAGAGTACATCCTCGTAATCATCAAATGTGGGATGCGGTCGTCTTCTATTACTAGAAGGAAAAGTGAGGTAATTTCCCTAAGGACCAACACTTTTCCACAGCACTGGGTGATGGCCAGGTGCGGGAAGCATTGCTTGACAGGGTTGGTTGGCAGCACTCAGCTAAGCCTGGGAACATCAGCATAACTGGGAAGGTATATAAAGCTTTCCATTGACTCTGAATCCCTTCTGCACAGATTAGCAACCTCATATTTTTGAAATTCCTTAGGACTGGGGTTGGGTTTTGGATTTTGTTTTGGTGTTGAGGGTTTTTTTGTGTGTGGTTTGGTGTGTTTTTTGGTTGTTTGTTTGATTTGGTTTTTTGGTCTGTGTGTGTTGTGCTATTTATCTTCTTGGGATAGGATGATTCCTCCTTCTACCTCCTACTTGGCTGGGGTAAGGGTGGGCTTTTCCTCAGAGTTCTGTGGGGTAGGGTCTGTAGACAGGTTCTGACTATGTAGGATGTATCTGGCTCTCTGATATCCTAAATGAGGACTTAGAGAAAAATACTACTGTTAGGAAGCCAGAGAAAAGACCTGACTTGCTACTACTTATTCAGTAAGGGGACTGCCAAGACATTCCCTCCCCCTCCCAGCAGGGGAGCTGGGAAGTGTCTGAGAGTTCTCTTTCAGGTGGAAATAACATAGGAGAGAACGAGAAGCTGCACTGTGTGATCACTGTGCCCAGCTTCCTTCATGGTTTAAGTTCTTTAAGTTAGAGTCAAATGCAATGAGGCATTTCTTCCAGCATGCCCAGGACACGCTATGCTTATTCCTTTCAGAGCTTATCCTTTCAACAGTTTTTGGCAATGGACATTTTTAGCAGGCAAGTTCTTTGTTATATTCAAAGCTCAATTTACTAAAATAATCCGTGTTCTCTCAGGTGCAGAGATCCTCCATACTCTTAAGTGGCAGTGGTGGGGAAAAAATAGAACGCTTAAGAAGGCTCTGGAGGGTGTCTCAAGGGAGGTGAACAGTAGTAGTGGCACAATGCAACACTCATTCAGTGATTCTGCAATACCAAGGCATTCCATTTTTAAAGCGAAGCAAAAATCCCCTAAATAATGGGGTGAAACTTGTGATTGTTCTTGTGGCATACTAAGAAAGTGAGGTGAATGACTGCTTCTAAGTGTGAGCTATGATATCAATTGCTGTCTCCTTTGAAGTTGGTCAGGAAAATGGTTGGTTTTATTTACTCATGGCCCACCTTTCACTTTTCCACATCTTGCAGTTATTGGTGTCCCACATTATATGGTTAAAACCTAACGGAAAAACGGAAGGGTTGCTGAAGGACAGAATATGAAGTTTAAAAATGTAAAATCTGAATTACTTGTAGCACTTTAAAAGACCCCTTAAAAACATAATTTAAAACAATTCTACAAGTTAGCCCACTAAGAAGCAGCCTCTTCATTAGTAGCACCTGTTCTTAAACAAAAGTTGAGCAGTAGCAGCAAAACTATTCAAAATAGATAGTTATTCCATTCTAATGGAATGTCACCCACACATTTTTTGTTGCAGTAGACATCTTAAAGAACTACACAAAACCTTTGCAATCTTCGAATGTGATAAATCCACTATAACAAAGCTGTAAATATTTCCTACGCTAAATGAATGCAGCCAGCGTCATCATAGTATTAGCAATATTACTTTTAAAGTAACTGCACATCAAAATGTCATGTGTTTGTAGAGTCTACTAAGTATGCGATTTTTCAAAACATGTAAAGTTATCATCAGCACCATCCTGTATTAAAGATTTGGTGCAAATTCTGCAAAGGTGAATATATATCACTGATACAGCCTTTGCTGTGAAAAAAATAAGTCGATTTTGGACACAAATATAAATAAAATAAAAAGTTGGCACATTCAGAAAGTAAAGTGTCTGTGTTCAAGACCATTGTTTTGATTGACATCATTACTCTCAGATAAACGTTTTGAGTCTGAAGAAACAAGTCGTATGAAAATGTTTCACATTAGTTAGGTTCTGGCATTGTGCTTTTCCCCCCACCACATGCTTTCCACAGGCTCATGCACATTGAACATCAGCAGAGTTTAACAACAGTTGGGCTGCTGGTCAATAATTTGGCACATCGAAGATAAATATCAGCTCAAAATAAAGAGAGCAGAACCTGTGTGAAGATGTGTTTACTTTGTGGTGGTATGGACCATCTGATATGTCTCCTCATTCCTTGTATGCTCGTGTGGGGGATGTGCCTTTATAGAAGATGTTTCTGGTGTTCTCTGGACTGCTGCCTCTCTCAGGGATTAAAATGATGTTACCTTTTCTTCGAAGTGTTGAGTCCCGGCTAGAAGAAATGGATAGAGTCTCTGAGCCAATCTCACTTCCCTCCACTGGTGTGACTCTTATTGTAGTGATTCCATGATGGTGATGCTCGGTGTTATCTATGTTGCTCCTTTTCCTGTCACCTGAACCATAACTGTCTTTTAAGGAGTCACAGCTCTCAGAGTCTCTGTTAAGATCATTTAGCTCATATGTCTGACGAAGGGTGACTTTTTCAGGACCTTTCCATTTCCACGACCCACTTCCTTCACCTTCTGATGGCATCTGAATTACAGGTCTGTTATTTTCTGGATGGGCCTCGACTCTAACAATGCTGCTTGGCTCATGGTCTGTCAAGGTTTTATATCTGATGGCTCCTGTACAGGTGACTGTGCTTCCCTCTGAGCCCTTTGGACTTCCCTGAAGCACTCCTTGCTGCTTAGACATGGCTATTACTTGCATGATTCTTGGCTGGCTATTGCTTCTACATGCAACACTCTTCTCAGCAGCTTTCAGCCATTTAGCTCTAGCTGAACTACTTTTGGGTGATGTGTTCACGTTCTCTTGAGTTTCTTCAGGAATATGCACTAGCTGGGATGAGCCAGGACGTGACTGAATAGAGACCCTTGGCCCACCAGAAAGACCCGAGTTGTTACAACCTGGTACGCTGCCAGGTTGAATTTTCAGGTATTGGCTCGTTGGGCCATGATGATCACCATTTACGCCCACTCTGGAGGGTTCTGAACTTGACCTCATTTCTATAGCCCTTGGTGGTGACTGGCCCGACTCAGTCTCTATTACTTGCAGTGACAACTTTCGACTTTCATTCTTGTTCTTCCACTGGGAAAGCAGCTGCTTGGAACGGGCAGAATCCATTGACGCGTGTATTGTTGCATTTCGTCTTGCTGGATCTTCCAAGGATGGTGTGTTGACTCTAGGCAAAGTGTTGCTGAAAGTAACCATATTTTCCTTTCCCATTGGGCTTCGTGGTGTTATTATTTCTACATCAGCATTTGCTCTCTTAATATTGGTCAGCGACCCTGAATCTCTGTGGTTTCTATTCAGGATACTTTCTGTACGGTGAGAGACAATGCCATCACTGCTGCTACCATTTTTACCTGGCAGGATTCTGTTGGCATCCTGACTGAGGTCTGTCAAAGACCTTAGAGGTTCTCTGTGAAAATTTGGATGAAACACATTCTCGTCACTTGGTAAGAAGTTCCCCACAGCGTACAGGCCCTGGCATTTGAACAGAAGCATCAACAATTAGTTTTGGAAAAAAGACATTTTACAGTGTTTTAAAATAATTTTCTGCCTTCAAATAAATATTGAGTGATAGAATTAGTCTACCTTAACTGACAGAGTACGTTCACTCTCCTTTTCTTTTTACTCTTAGTAGGATAACTAGAGTACAAAGTTCATGGCAATAAATAGGTGAGGAAAAGATTTAGCTTCTTCAGTATTCTTCATTTTACAAAGCCAGAGATGCAGCTGAAGAATTAATGTTTTGTTATGAAAATAAATGTCTGTGGTCCTCTAGGCAAAGCTATTTTACAGCTACACTACTGTCTACTCTCATTTACTGAATCTTGTTACAGCTTGAGCTGTTCTCTGCTCTATGATTCTGCCCTTTCTTGTGCATAATAAGCATGTAATACAATATCTACATGATAGAACAATTTATCAACTTTAAATCAATTGCTTTCCAAGCTGTGCAGAAGTGTAACAAGATTTAGTTATACAACACTCTCTTATTCAGTAGACTCACTGTATAATGCTGTCATTTTAAAAATACTCCACTGAGAATATTCCATGAAAGGGTCAAATACCTGACTCAATCACTTGGGTTACTTGCTCTTTATGCTCCTTTCAGAGTTACTTGTAGTTTCACATTATCTCCCTTATTCTTCCTCTTACTGGTGTGTCATTTTCAGGGCAGACTTACTGATTACTGGGTAAGGGGAACAATGTACTCTCTGATGTATGTTGTCATGCAACAATACATGGAGAAAACCTAACAACAAGCATACTTGTGGATATCAAACATGGGAACAACAACTCCACTTAAGAGAGTCTATAACAGCTTAATCATTTGAAATAATTTTCTCAATAAAGTGCCTTTCTGCTCACAATGCAATTACAGAAACTGACTTCAGTGGCTCACGGGGTTTCTACTATCTACCCTGGTTGCTGTTTCTTCTGCCACTGTGAAAATTATTTTTCCTCCAGTCACCTTTGTACACAATATACACGTACCTTAGATTATCTTATCACAGAAGAAAGGTGGATAGGGTATGAGCTTATTTTACCATTATACTAAAATTCATCATTGACTTCTTGGGGGTCAAAAACACCCCACTGGCTGTTCTGCTCTTCTGCTCACCTGCCCACACTGGAGCAAAAATGTTGTCAGTAGAGGCTCCTGATTGCTGACAGGCACCTGGGCTGACGCTGTGCTGAACAGCTAGGGCAGCAACTGCCACATTGAGAGCAGCAAGCAAAATCAAATG